CATATAACAAACATTTAATATTGCTGCTCTAAGTTGAAAGTAATTACAGGTGAAGGTAACATGCTAATGAAGTCTCAAACTCTTGGTATACGACACCCCTTTTCGCGTCGCGCTTCCCCTTTTAGCAGCATCAGCTGTACAAATGTACACACACACACACACACACACACACACACATTATCCTCCGGTGCAATTTAATTAATTAATTTAATAAATATTTAACTGTAAAGCTAATATTGTCAAGTAAGAAATTTGTCTGCTAAAGCACTTCTGGCATGGAAGGTTCTTTCGAAACGGGGGAACATTTGTACGGTGCCAGAAGTTCAAAAGAAATATTGGGGTTTCATTTCATTTTAAGGGAGTAACTAATTACGATTTTAATGTCCATGAACTCATAATTATAATGAGTTGTATTTTTTGTTTTTTTTTTGTAATTGTTTGCATTTCGTTTCTCACCCAACATTATTGATTAATGAAATTGAAGGGGGAGAGAGGATGGAAGAATAATTGGAAATGAATTGAATTTTTACACTGTGGGAAATTAAACCACCGATGTATGGGGAAAAAGAAAAATATTCTTTTGGAAATATGAGAGTAGACATTCCTACTAAATAGGTTTTAGTAGCGTAGAAAAGTCCTTTGAAAGTTCTATATGAGAATATGGAACTTGAATTGGAAATGGCAGACAGTACCAAAGCCAGTGCCGGCAAATCTATGTAGCATGGTACAATCAAGACATGGTAGGGCAAAGCAATCACCTGAATACCAGCACTGCCGTGACGAACTTCTAATACCCTCCACCATTTTAAAGGAACTTGAAAAAAAAATTAGCAGAAAAATAACTGTCAAATGAAATTCCTAATATGGGCCCTACACAAAAACGTGGCGCTTCATAATTAATTTTTCGTACCGGTTCCGAGCTTCAAATACGTAATTTGAAATAATTCCAGTGAATGATGTACCTGACATAATCGAAATACCGAATTTTGGGAGGTATCGTTATATGGGGGTCAGAGGTTGTAGTACCCATTACAAATTTTAAGTACGAAATTCGAAACAATTTCAGTGAATAATGTGAATGAATTTAAACTGCATAAGAATATATACGGGAGCTATATCCAAATCTAAGACGATCTCGATAAAATTTGCAAAGGTATATCCGAGCTCTATAAGACGAATGTGAGAGACCTAAAGACCAAATCGGATGAATCATATGTATGGAAGCTATAGCTATATATAAACCGATTTTCTCTAAATTTTTATGTACTTGCTTCTAGAATGAATTCGGTGGGATGTACCAAATTATAGTATATTAGCCATTTTGAAGGTATATCTAAATCTTATCCGATTATCACCAATTTCAATAGGGTTCGTCCTTGTGCCAAACAAATATTGTTTGCAAAGTTTCATCTCAATCGAATAGTAAATGAAACCTTTGTTTTGTTCACAAAAATACATGGACGGACGGACTGACATGCATAAATCGTCTCAGGCAGTGATTCTATTATTATCCTCAAAAGTAGCTATGGCTCTATCTCGCTTTCTTCTCCCTGTTACAAACAAATTCACAAAGACATAATACCCTTAACACTATGTTCTGTAGGGTGTAAAAATTTAGGTAAATTTGGTAAATATCCTGCTTTGTTTCTAAATTCTATGTATAAATAACGTTGTAGGGATTTTTTGGTTGCAACTTTGATGTGGAGTTGTGCTCAATTAGTTCGATCAAACCAACAAGTTCCTCATCAAGTGCCGCGGACCCCAGTCGTTTGTATGAAAACTCTGCGCTTGAGTGATATGAAGTATATAAAAAACATTCATACGTTTAGGTGTTTTATGTATCTCTATCCGACCGATTTATAATATATTAGAGGATTGTTTTTGTAGAGATTGGGATTTTTATTGAAGATTTGTTTTTCGTAGGACGTTTTCAATGGAAACTACAAATTATATTAATAGTGCAAAATTATTTACATACCAGTGCTCTATATTTGGGGAGCTACATCAACATGTTGAGCGACATGACCGAATGGCAGAGCTTATGTCCTAATAGAGACCCAAAATATCAATTTATAGGGCCTAATGCACTTCGACACCAACAGTGATCCCAAAGTATCATTTAATACTTTTCGAACAATTTGTGTACACATTTCCAAAACCAAATGCATATCTCAATTCCAGATACCAACAGAGAACTCAATACCAAATTTCGTGATTCCAGCTCATTACACATACTCAATGCCAAATTTAATAACATATAGTACTGTTCGTATAATTTTAGTACTTAATTGCATAACCGTACCATATTTCAATCTTAGACACCAACAGTTATAGGAATATAAAATTACACGGTTTCAGCCCTATCCCTTCATATCCCAAAATTCAATTTAATTTCGTACTTTTCGAACAATTATATCGCAACGTAAGATACCAACAGTGACTTTTATCAAAATTTGAACAAATTTCAGGATTTCAAAGAGACGATTTCCTCCATTACCATATTATGTACCATTTTTTTTTTGTACTTCAAATCTCAACCCCAGATACCTAACTAAATATCAAATTTTAAGATTTCAGCTCTATTCCTACAACTAGTTCCAAATTTAGTACTATTTAGTACATTTAGTGCACTAGTAGCACTTAAAGCACACATTTTCAAAACCAACTTCACATCTCAATTCCAGATACCAACAGAGAACTCAATATAAATTTGGACGATTCCAGCCCCAACCCTTTAGCCAGTACCAAATTTAGTATCATTTAGTTCTAATAATAAAAATTTAGGATGCATTTCCAAAGTTTTACCTAGATTTTATCTAGTGCAAATTTTTAAACCACAGCCATGTGTCTAGGCTACATATAACATCGACCCTAATACAAAATTTCAGACGTCAAGCACTATCTGTTCGCCTAATACCAAATATAATACTATGTAGTAATTTTCGTACCCTTGAAGTTCAAATTTACAAAACCATTTCTTATCACATACCTACTACGGGCACCCTAATACTAAATTTCGATATTCCAGCATTATCCCTTTACAAAACCACCTCTTCATCACAAATCTACCAGAATCCGTTAAAACGTGGACTTGGACGACGTTGACTTGCATAGGCAACAATGGTCATTAGTCATTACAATATTGAAATTTAAACTTGAAAGAAAACAAATCGGTGACTAACGTAGCTAATATCATTAAAATACCGTATATAGGGAGGTACCATTATATTATACGAAGACGTGGACCTGCACAGACAATTTTCTGTCTTAGGCTGTAGTGTCAGTTACGAAATTAAAATACCAAAATTTAAATAATTCCGGTGAATAAAGTCGCTGAAATCATCCAAATACCGAATATCGGTAAATTTCTGCAGATATAATATACATTTGCGTAAAATTTTATCAACCGGCCTCATTTCGTTCAAAAGCTAGAGTGATTTCAAAAAAAAAAAAAAAATTAAAAAAATTAAAAATTATGGCGTTTGACTTTGTTGCAGTTTTTTATCTCATCCTGTATTTACTTTGTGGGATCTAAAATGTATATTTTGAGGTGTTACAAACGGAATTACAAACTTAAAATACCACCCATACTATGGTGGAGGGTATAAAAATTGGATCTTCGGCCACCTTTAAAAAGGTGTATTCTCTACCATATTTTCATAAGTTCGCACTCTACGTAAGGGATAGCCAGAAGTGGGTCGATTAAGCTGATCGTAAAATAGTAGAAACGATGAACTTTTCTGACAGGGCGTGAACTTTGCTAATGAAATTCAATGATTTGGTTAAATTATAAAAAAAACTGAAGATGTTTGACAGTTAAACAAAACACGAAGCTATAGCTGTCATTTATATTTTTTATTCGATTTGATATTTAAGACGCTCAAGACCTTTGTATGCATTCCACAACAAGATGTAATATACATCCAGCCAACATCTTTACCAAATTCCATTGAGATTTTTTTTTAGATTTAAACCAAAACCATTTTGGGCCTGGAAGCAAATATGTTAAATTTGATGAAATCCGTTTAAATATAGCTATAGCTCCTATAGTATTCACCCGGTTTATATCTTATTATAGTCCTAATATGTAGTCTATAGTAATAATATTTGGTAGAAAATGTCACATACAACATAAAAATGCCTCCGTCAAATTTTTTGGAAATCGATTAAGATTAAGACGGCTACACACTCCCTTTGTTTTTTCTTTACAAGTTTAATAATGATGAACATTCCCCATTTTTCAATAAAATCTGCTACCATTGCTATAAAAAAATCTCAAAATAGAGATGCATTTGTCAATAAAAGTTTCTTATCCCAAAAAACTTCTTTGCAAAGCCCATTTCAATCATTTGCCCAAAACCACTTGAACATTACCTTTACCGATAGAAAAAAAAAACAAATGTAAACTGAAACTCATTTTTTCTTATCAAAATACCAAACTGTCAGAACAAACCAAAAAACATTTGTATTGTCGTTTTGTGAAAAATTCAGTTTTTTTATTTGGGGAGGCAGTTCTCCAATAAATTTGTCACCAGAATTTATTGCAAAGTACACAGCTTAACGACTTTGTATTCGACATTTGAACACCGTTGGGGCAGAAATAAGGAAAACCCATTATTGCAGCAATTACAACGGAAAGAAAATGGCAATGCAGAAAATGATTTGTGGTTTTTGTGTTGGGAAAAGTGCAAAAGAAAATTCAATGCTTTCGATGTGGTGGAAGGTAAATTTTAAAGAAGGAAGTAGTTTTTTGCAGAGGCTGATGTTTCTTAGAGGTAGACTGAAGAATTTGAAATTAAGCGTTATTTGCTTTGTTAAATATACTAGGAACAAATCGAGTGCAATTCAATATTGCATCCATGTCCTATTCTAGAAGTTCTGCTCTGGATGGGGTCTTGTAAATTGTAAGCGATGTTGTTCCGCTCGGAAAAATGCAATTTTTTATATATATAACATCATTAGAATTTTATTTCTAATATTTTTGTATTATCTATTTTCAGATTTCAACATCAAAGAACTAAAAAGTGGTAAGTCATTGTTCAAAATTAGACATTTTACCTATATTAGCGTACCATTAGTCTTAGGGTCAGTATCAGAATTAGCACCAGCAATTAAGCTCAAAATTTAGCAAAAAAAAAAAAAAAAAAAGTAAAAAGCTGTAAGTTCGGCCGGGACAGAACTTTGAATATCCTCCACCATTTAGAACGAATTTGGCAATTCTCAAAAACAATAAAATCCGTTAAAATTTCTGTTAAAATCTTAAAGATATCGAATGTAGCTCTTATATTAGGGTCTATACGACGACATGGACCTTCATAGGTAACATTTGTCATAAGCCATTACAATATTCAAATGCGAAACATGAAACAATCGGTAAATAATGTAGCTAAAATCATCAAAATACCGAATATCAGGAGGTACCATTATATGGGGGCTATACGAAGGCGCGGATCTGCTCAGACAAATTTCTGTCTTAGGCTGTAGTATCCACTACGAACTTCAAATACTAAATTTGAAACAATTTCGGTGAATAATATCGCTAAAATCATCAAAATACCGAATATTGGGAGGTACCGTTATATGGGGGATATACGAAGACGTGGACCTGCACAGACAATTTTCTGTCATAGGCTGTAGTATTTATTACGAACTTCCAATACCAAATTTGAAACAATTCCGGTGAATAATGTCGCTAAAATCAACAAAGTACAGAATATCGGGAGGTACCGTTATATGGGGTCTATCCCAAAACGTGGACCTACATGGCCCATTTTCAATACCAAAAGTCCTGCAGACATAACATACATTTGAATAAAATTTTATCAATCAACTTCAATTCGTTCGGAAGCTAGAGTGATTTCCACAGACGGACGGGCATCGCTAAATCGGTATAGAATTTTATGCTGACCAAGAATATATATACCTTGTGGGGTCTGAAATGTATATTTCGAGGGGTTACAAACGGAATGACAAACTTAATATACCCTCCATACTATGGTGGAGGGTATAATAAATAGAAATTTATAACTCAACCCCTTCACTATTTAACTAAATTTAATATCACTCACCAAAGGGATTTTAAAATGAATTTTCGTCTGTAAAACTGCAAAATTAATTTTCAGAATTCTAGCAGTATTGGTCCTGCAGTATTTCGTAATTTTTGGCATTTTTTAGTTCTCATTTTTCAAACTCCATCTAGCTCAGATCTACCTCAGGTCTTTATGTTAATATTTATTAAATAAAAAAAACTTACGTTTTGTAAATGTAGTAGTTATGATGTAGATTCCAGATTTTAGGTCCAAATGTTTAATTCCTTAAGTCCTCTGTTACATATTATTGTGGATTTGACAAAAAATATATATCGTTTCTTTTTTTTTTACTGCTTTTCTTTACAAATTAAATCGAAATAAAGCTGCATTCATCGGATTTTCTTTAATTTTTTTTAAATGTTATTTACGTCAGAGACATAAGTGCTCACAATGTTGCAACCCGCTACCCAATACAATTAAAATGAAATAAATAATTGAAACCATGCAGTGCAATAAACAAACAGTCGAACAGAAAGGAAGCTGTTGTTTACCTGTTCATTTAGTAATGCACCATTTAACATTTTGACTCGATGTTGTCGGTGGAAACAGTCGAAGGTAATTAATGAAAATAATTATTATTTTAACCATCATATTGACATTGTTGCTTTCAAAATGTTTTTTGATCGATAAACGCTTATAAAGCTTAATTTAAATTCTTAAATTGGCCAAAAAAAGAAATCGTTGAAAATTTACGAAGGAATAAAATATGACAAAAAACTTGTCCTTCTCTTGACGACATTCTTATCAGTGGTAGATATCGATTTTAGCATGCATGTAATTTCTAACTGGTGCGTGATATTATATAATATTATTAGTTATTGCAATATTACACTGTGCAGCACAAAAAAATAATTACATAGAAAATCCAAAATATTCCTCGTATATTTATGCAATATTGACGAAGACACTATATATCTAAAATTTACGGATTCAGAGGAATCTTAATCTGAAAATTTAAAAAAAGTGCGGAAGCGGGGGAGATTTCCCCCTCAATTTAGTTTACTTTGCGATGTAAATTTTCAAAATGCAGATTCATACCAACCTTCATAATCTGCTGGATTTTCTTGGCAGTTATTGAAAAAAAATGAATTTTGCCGCACGATGTGATTGTAAGAATACAGGGTGAGATAAAAAACGACAATGAAGCGCTTCATTGAGGTGATCGACACTTTGGTATTTTTTAGTGTCAACCTTGCTTTCTAAAATACTCCAGACACAATAGTCCAACGGATTGGTATCCGGAGATTTTTGTGGCCATCGTGCTCTGGAAATGAAGCGAGGAACCTCATTTTGTAATCATTCTTGGGTGGCGCGTGCTGAGTTCTGTTGGAAAGTCCAAGGTCTGCGGCCAAAATTTTTGCGTGCCCAAGGCTTTAATACACGCTCCAGAATATTTTCGCGATTATATTCCGCATTTATTCTGATGGCACGGTCGATTAATACGAGTGGAGAGCGACCATCGGCTGTTATGGCGTGGCCAGCGCTTGAGTTCTGGTTGCCAACCGAAGCTGCATATTTTCAGCTGACCTCTTTGGCAAGTAAACACGATCATTTTGTTTGTTTACAAACTTCTGGACAACGAATGTTTTCTCGTCGGAGAAAACTCTTCAGCTCTTTTGAGTCTAGTTTTTTTGTCGGTTGCGGTGTAAGTTCTTGCACTTTTTGGAATTTCAATGGCTTTACCCCGAGCTCATTCTTCAATATTTGCCGAATGGATTATTGCGATATGTTCAGCTCACGAGCCATTTTTCGGCCACTGCACTGGAATAATTTTGACAGCTGTTGGACGAGTAGCTTAGAAATGACAGCAGTCTTAAGTTGGTTGCAATTTTTTCATCTCACCCTGTACACTGGCTGTGTAAGGCTGTGGTGAAGTCCACCCTTTCCTACGGATGTTCTGTTTGGTGGCACGAATTAAAATACAACGTGAATCGCTCGAAATTCTCAAGTAGCTACAGATCTAAATAGGTGCGTCAAAAAGTACGTCTCAAACAGCCTTAAACATAATGCTAAACCCCACTCCGGTCGAACTTATCCTACAGTACCATGCTGTAGGAAGTGCGATGAGACAAGAAAATGTTGCACACTACGTTGGGGTTATGCCAGATTTTTTTGCCTTTTTGAAGACTGAAGAAAATCAGAAAGTAAAACCAATAAGGAAAGGTCAAAAGTCGGGCGGGGTTGACTATATGATATCCTACACTAACATGCGTATTTAGTAGAGCTCCCGTAACAAAAAAAGGTTATATTGGGAATTTATTTGAAACAGGCCATACCAATTATGAACCTTATTTGAATGCGACCTATATCTAACTATATCCAACTCTGAAGCGGTTATTAACTAAATTGACGAAGGCATTTGAACCTTAGTACAAAATAACATTCCTGTATAATGCATGTTATGACTTCGACATATATATGTCGTACCGAGTTTCGCCAAATGGGAAAATTCTGCTGAATATGAAAAAATTTATCCAATTTTGGCTAATAAATCGGAGTAGGATGTATATGGTAGCCATATAAAAATCTGAATCGATGTCGATAAAACTGGGCAGAGGTATTTCCGGGCTGTATCTGTATCTGACCAGTATCGTATAACATCGATGTGGAGTGCATATAACGAAACATATATATGGGATCTATAGCTATATTTGATCCAAAATATAATTTTCACTAAAATTTGAAGTAATTGTTTCGGGGCTAAATTCCGTACGAAGTGCCAGAATTTAGTTAATTTGGCTTTATTTTACTCATTTGGTACACAAAAAACCTGATATCGGATAAATATATATATGGGAGCTATATCCAAATCTGAACCGATCTTAACAAAATTTTAGGCACCTATTTCTGAGCTATATCTGATACCAGGTACCAAAGATCGTTGTTGTGGAGTGCATAGGTACTTAAAACCCCAAATGGGATGAAACGTATTTATGGGAGCTAAAGCTATATCTGCACCGATTTTCACCAAATTTGAAGTACTTGTTTCTGGAATGGATTCAGTCGGAATTGCCTAAATTCAGTTCATTTGGGCTAATATAAGCCATTTGGTACCAAATAAACCTGATATCGGATATCCTAATCCTATCCTAATCTGAACCGATTTCGACAAAATTTGACAGAGGTATTTTTGACCTTCATATATTATCTGGTATCAAATATAATTTTTGTGGAGTGCATTTTACGCATTTGTGGGGCTTAAAACCTCAAATCGGATGAAACTTATATATGGGAGCTATAGCTGTATCTGAACCAATTTTTTCAAAATTTGATGCATATGCTTATAGACTGAATTCGGTCAGATGTGCCAAAATTCAGGTCATTTGGACTGATATTGGACATTTGGCGAACAATTAACACGAAATCGGTTGAAGATATATATGGGAGCTATATCTAAATTTGGACCGATTATCAAGAGATTTCGTCTTTGGACTAAACAACTGATTTGTGGAAATTTTCATTGTATTCAGCCAACAAATTCGACCTCTACTTTGTTTACAAAAATCCATGAACAGACGGACTGACGAGTAGACGAACGGAGATGCATAAAACTACTCAGAATGTGATTCTATGCAGATCATCAAAAGAAACTAGGGATCTATATCGCTTCCTTCTCCATGTGTACCTGCATGAACAATTCTCCGTCACAGACTGTTGTAGCCATTAACAACTTACAATACTAAATCTGAAACAATTCTGGTATATAATGTCGGTAAAATCATCAACATACCCAATATGGGGAGCTACCCTTACATGGGGACCATACCAAAATTTAGACCTATATAGACAGCTCTATACAATATTTTTTTTACATACCTACAGCACAAAGTGCTCATTTACAACGAATACGGACGGATACGAATATGGTGGCTATACCAAAACGCAGACCTATATCACCAATTTTCAATACCAAAAGTCCTGCAGACTTAAAACACTTT